TGCAAACTTACCGAGAAGAGCCTAAACCCAAAGAGGCCCTAATCCCTACAAAGCCCTCCAAGCCCCGTAAACCCTACAAAAACATTAAACCCTAAAAACATTAAACCCTAAAAACAACTTCTAAATCCTAAAAGCCACTTAAACACTAAAAACACACTAAACCCAAAAAAAACTAGCCCTAAAAAACAATCTAAACCCTCAAAACCATACAAACCACCTAAAAACACTAAAAACCCTAAACCCTAAAAACCATAAAAACACAAAAAAACCCTAAACACTAAAAACCATAAACACTAAAAACCCTAAACCATGAACACCCTGAAAACCATCGTAACACTAAAAAACCTAAACCCTAAAACTCCTGAACACTAAAAACCCTAAACGCTAAAACCACCCTAAACCCTAAAAACCAACTAAACCCTAAAAAGCACTAAACCCAAAAACATCATCTGAACCCAAAAAAACACTATAAACACTAAAAGCAACTTGAAAACACTAAAAACACACTAAACCCTAAAAACCCTAAACACTAAAAACCAAAAACCCCCCAAAAACATTAAACCCTAAAAACACTAAACCCTGAAACACACCTAAATCCTAACAACACCCTAAACCCTCAAAAAACCCTAAACCCTAAAAACAACCTAACCTCTAAAAACACACTAAACCCTTAAAACACAATCTGAACACAAAAACAACTAAAAAACCATATTAAATTTAGAAAAACAAAACGAAAACATTAAAACCACACTAACACCTAAAAACACTAAACCCTGAAAACCATAAACCCTAAAAACCATAAACCCTAAAAACACTCAACCCAAAACCACCTAAAAATATCCTAAACCCTACAAAGCTCCTAAACCCTAGAAAACCCCAAACACGAAAAACACTAAACCCTAAAAACCAACTCTAACACCTAAAAACCGTACAAACCACCGACAAGAAAACACTAAAAACCCTAAACCCTAAAAACATTCAAAACACTAAAAACCCTAAATACTAAGAACCCTAAACCATAAAACCCTAAACCTAAACCATGAACACCCTAACAACACCCTAAACTCTACAGTAAAAACTCTACACGCTACAAACACATTAAAACCCCTAAAAACCCAAACCCTAACACACTAAACCCTAGAAACCCTAAACCCAAAAAAATCCAAACCCGAAATTGACAGCAAGCACAGCTCTAGTGTGGGCGAACCTACCCGTTTGGGCCTATTACTACCATTACCATTACTACTGTATTATTTTTGCTTTTTATCACTACTAGTATTGCAATTATTGCTACTAATGTTAATACTATTATTATTGTTATTTCACCATTATTCTGCATTCTTATGTTTACCACTGGTATTAAGATTACTACTAGAGTTTACACGTAGACTGCTGCAGGACCGGCGATCATGGATTGAGATGGGAAGCATGTGATGCTACAAGTTTCTCTCTGTGAGCTCAGGAGTGTTTTGTACACCTTCAAGACTGCAAGGATGGTCAAAGAACGGTCTACCAAAAACGGCAGAGTCTGCCTGTCACCAGACAGCCGAAGTTAGGCTTACGTAACCTATACTATGAGGGCTGTAGGGGAATACTGGTGGTGACTATATCAAAGCTTCTACAACAGGGGTCAAGGGTAGCCAGCAAATCGACTGGAAGACAGTGCCATCAGGATGCCGCAGCACCACACATGATTTCAACTTGGGACTTGGGACCCGTTGCCATAGCTGCTGAGGACCAAAAACAAGACTCACTGAGAAATGCCGAGTCTCAACAAAAGTGAGCACAGCAGCTAGAGTCAAGGAGTTGCAGGGACCACACCGTCGAACCCCAAAAAAATTCCCTTGAAACCTGAGCCCTTTGAATCGGAAGGAAAGTTCCGAGCCTCAAGGTAGATCAGGGTATCCTGGGAGGGATTGGTTGGGCTGCTTTCGGGCTGAGTTTCGAGGGGGAGGACTGGGATGTTTCCAAAATCTTGATCAGACCACCCCCTGCACCACTTGGAGAGCCAGTGCAGGGAAGGACTTTGGCGCTGGTCATCTCGAAATAAATACACTGACACTGTCTGCATCATCATCTGCTTCTTTAATGCCCGTAGCTGGGCGGGATGTTTCGTGCAATCCTGCAGGGAACAGTACAGGTTTCATGGGTCGGCTACATAGTCGATTGGTCTACTCCAACCCCAGGCGGTCTAAAGTGTCGCGCCCTTAAATGCCAACTCTCCGTCACCCATTCAGTTGGCTGCTTTGCGTGTTCGGTAGAAACTGAAGCCCAGAAACTACAGGAAGACGAAATATCTTTTGGACATGTGTGCTGTACAGCAGAGGTGCGTTCATCCAACCGAGATCCCATTTGAGGTCAAAGCCGAGGCCCGAGGACACGTTCCTGGCAGTTCGTAGGCTGGAGGTGCGCTTCCGATTGGGGGAATGGGTCAGGGATGGCTTCATGTAGGCTGCTAGCTGTACGGCCGAGAATGCTGTAAAACACAAATGTCATGAAGGGTTGTGCTAAACTCGTTCATGGACCCGTTCTACAATGTGAAGGGGCATTCTCGACCATGCGACTAGTAGAAAGAGACGCTGACCAGTACATGCGCTGCATCGGTTCTTCACGAGCGTCCAGTGCCTGGCCTCAGAGTTGTGACACCTTCCCACGCAGTGGACTCTTCGGCTATCATGATGACGCCTGTCCAGGCATGTTGGATTGAGGATCTAAAGTTGGAAAGTCTCAACTTGTGTCCGCGCTTGGTGAAGGGCAGGTTCAGATGTTGAAGTTACTTCTGAAGCACAGCGCTCCAGCCTGGCCAGAACTGCTTCATGGACTTGTTCAAATCTCTGAGCAATGAAACCGCTTCCAGATTGCTGTCGCCGCCATGCTCATTTGGGATCCACTCGCCGTGAGATTTGCCAAAGTTCCGATAGATCCTGAGTCACAGAATTATGGAATTGGCTGTAAGAGATTCTAAAGCGACTTAGGATGCTTAAGGCCCTGTCTTGCCGCAACAGCCAAGCATCATGGCCGAGACTGCATCGCAACGGAAGCCATCAATGTGATAGCCTGGGATCTGAACGAGATGATAAGGTCGGTTCATGGTTGCACTTAGGACTTGGCAAGGAAAGCCGCGAGGCACACCAAGCAAAACATACTATAGTCTATTGCAATATCGGGAGAATGGAAAAATGGAAACTACTATTCAGGGTTTAGGGTATATTGGGTTATATTAGGGACTATATAGGGTTTAGGATTTAGGGTCTAGGGTTTAGGGTGTAGGCTTTAGGCTTCTCACCGTGCTGCGTTCTGCCCAGAAGAGCGCAGAGCCCACGAGGAAGCTTCTCACCTGGAAGCTTGCCGTTTTTCGGTTTGAAAAGAAGATACTAATGCCTATATCACAGGGTTTAGGGTTTAGGGGCCCAAGGGGGACTCTAAACCCTGAATAGTAGTTTCCATTTTCTTTTCCATTCTCCCAGTATAAAGGAGTTGTATGAAGGGATCCAGTCATGAGAAGGGATGGAGAATCTTGCCAGAACATGGGGTGGGGAACGCTTAGATACATCAGTTGGGACATCTCCGTGAAGCCTTCGGGGCACAGTCTAGGATCTTCTTCGCAGATCTATGCCATCACAAGTGCTAGCAGGCAACCGTGCCTCATTCTTCCGGAAGTTGAAGATTTTGGTACCCCACTGCCTGGTTGGATGAATTTAAACTTCCACCGCAGTTCCATGGGTTGTCTTCATGCAATCCATGCTTAGCATAATTACGAGTTAGTTGGTTACATCCTCTGGTCCTGCTGCCTGCTGACTGCGAAGACTCTGCACTGTCCAGCTGCCGCTTGATCATCGCGACAGCGAAGCCTATGTAAACCCCCTTTTGATTGCATTGTCCACTAATTTTCCATCTGATTCTCCATGTGTAAGGTTATCTCGATACCTGGCAAGAAAACCTCCGCAACACAGCACAGCCCCTCGTAGCCTCTGCTCTCCCTCTCGGGGGTCCTCCCAAAGGAGTTGGATTTCTGCAGCGTAGGCTGAGGCATCTCAAGGGTGGGAGCGTAAAATCAATTCATCAAAGGATGCGGACCGCGTCAATCAGAGCGCGCTCTGGCAATGCCAATCCAAGAGCTCAGAATGTATTCAAAAAACACCTCTGTCATGTACTTCAAGAAGCTGGAATGCACACCTCGTACTCGTACGTTGGCGTGCCGTCAAAGTCGCAGAAACTGCCTTGTGCTTGCAGCTTCGGCTCTAGCCTGGACCCTGACCCAAACCACTAAGGATTCAAACCCTGAGCCACACTATTCTCCAGAGACAAGTGACAGGCATCTTTACAGAAGTGCGCGGGCACAAAGTCCATCACCACACCAATGCCGGCCTTGCATCATAGCTTCAAACTTAAAACCCTGCCTGGCCATCAAATCGATGGCGGCTGCCGCACAAAACAGTAATAGAAACCAGCAACACCAGCAGCCGCGTGGATCAATTAAAGGACTACAGTCACTTCAGGTTTAAAGAAGGAACTGAGGAAGTCTTTTGGCAGCAAGCTGCTCCTGACCATACATGCTAGGTCAAAATGCTGGCCCGTGCAAGCAACCCCCTGTTCACAAACCCCTGAACCTTTGACACTCTAAAGCCCATCCTGGATGTCGCCTTGTGGAGCTCATTGATGAGGTGCTTCAAGTCATCGGGTGAGCCCATCAGTGAACAGCAGCTGTAGTACCTTTGGGAGCTTGCAAGAGGCGAACACCGGTGAGAGCCCGCAACCCTCGCGACGAACCAGTACTGGGAAGTGAATTTGGCTTCGATTGACAAGCCGAGAGGCTGGTCGACTGCTACACTCCCGCCCAGCTCTAGCCCAGGGCACAACATTCTGAACCCCCAAACCAACACACGTCTTACAGATACCTCGTATCATGTCATGGAGAGTCCTATGGTCTGAAGACAGTCCGAGGATCCCAGAGACCTGGTAGCCCCAAGATCCGAGGAAAGGGTGGTGAGCGAGGGCCATGAGCTCCACCCAGTTGAACTTCAAGGCCTGGCTTCCAGTTGGTCTGAATTCGAAGGAGCTTGAAATGCTCGGATCCTTCAGCAGGTTCAAACACCTGACCATTTTCCTCTGAAAGAAGCCCAGGCAAAACAAAAATCAAGTCATGGCTCTTACCAAGCAAGAGAGTTCAGATGCCAGGGCCTTGACATGGTCGATCAGGGGCTGTGTGAGTTCTCGGTAGCCTTGCTTGTGAGCACAGCCGGGTAGCAGGGCAGGACCATAGCCAGCCACACACACCAAAAAAACAGCAACTGCGCTGCGTGTTTACTGGCAAAGAAAGTGCCTGGCCGCTCAGAAGTACTTCTTCTGATTTGTGGGAAGCTAGCGCCAACTGCCCGAGGCCTGAAGTCCCTGAGCTAGCCCTGACTCCGAACGCTTCCCACAAAGCCTCAGCCAAGTCTCTCATGAGCTCACCCTCTGCTCCACGCCTCCACGAGGGTAGATGGACCTCCCCGCGACAAGTTGGGCCACTAGTACTCCAAGCACACAGATCTGCCAGAGCTACTAAGGCACTGACAGAACCTGAAAGCACACTGAATTGAAGGAGGAAGTGGTGAAGCCATACCCCCAAGCCTGAACCTTGAAGCCAACCCTCAGGCCTCGTAGATGGCCTGGGACTGGGATTCAGCAAAATCCAATGATGTTGCAGGTTGTGTGCAGTATTCAGCTGACGTGTTGAGGGTGCACGAGGCTTGCCATTGAGACTTGAAGCTTGAATTAAAGAACCTCGAAACCCCCATGCCCTTTCGCTTTGAAGACACCACCGATCATACAAAGTAACATGGTCGTCGTTGAAAAGAAAGGAAAACTTGCTGCAACCAAAGAAAGAGGCCATGGGCTGCATCAGCGCGATGTTGAGGCGACCTCGCTCTTCTCGAGCAAGCATCCACGCCTCATCACCTTATCACTCAGCGAGCTCATGCTTTGAAGGGGCTCTGGGTTTAGGGTTTAGCGGTTTAGGGGGTTAGGGGGGTGTATGGTGATGTAGTTTGTACTTGCGTCAGACATGGTCTTATCTTCTCTGACCTGCAAGAGCACTGGGATGCACGACACACTCAAGAGACTGTGCGGAACCCACACGGATCCACAGCTTGTGGCGCAGCTCCTGGCTGCGGCGAATTAATGCACATCCCTCTGCTATAAAAACCCCCCACCCCGCCTAATATTCAGTACTTCCAATCTACCACCATGTGGAGTATTTCATGGTGGGGTTAGTATTAGGGGGAGGGGATTCATGCACATCCCAACCTGATGAGGCTTGGCAGCCTGAACGCGCCTAGGGTCGGCAACAGCCAGAGACTCCTAATCCACAACCGCCGACCCGTGTCAGGAAGTTCATTTGGGGTGACGTGTTTTGGAAGCGTTTCTGAGGCTCCCCTCATGCCAAGGAGGGTTTGGGGCAACTGTTTCCTGCCAGCATCATCAACACAATGGGGCTTTCGCTTCTCCTTCCTTGATAACTCAACATACCCAGGGTTTCTGGAAGGGTGCCGGGTCCTCATATTATGTGTGGTATCAAGAAGGACATGGGTGGCCCAAAACAGGCCTGTGGTGCTCACAATGCGGGCTTCTTGGGTGCTGGAACCTCGAACCCCCGCAAAACTTGGAGCTGAAAATGCCAGTAAGGACCATAAAAAGACCTGTTGTTGGCAGCACCTGCTCTGCATGACAAGCATGCAAGCGGACCTGCCTGCTTTCCTTTTACAACGCTTGTGCACATATTTCCAGCACTTTGGAGGCTCCTATGCCAGCACCGGACACCATTAGCCTGCTACATATGTCCCAGTGCGACTTCTGAATTGCCAAACATGGAACATGTGGGCCAACACATGGCAAGCTTGTGCAGACATCCATGTTCAAAGCGCTTTGGATGGTTTCTCTTGGGCTTTCTACGCACAATGGGGTCCCAGTTGTGCTGATGATGTTCGCGTACGTGCGTATGCGCACGCGGGACCCGAGCATCATCAGCACAGTTGGGTCCACTTTGGGTTTAAGTTAAGGACTAGAGGACCTTAATCCTTTAAGAACCTACAACGTCATCGAATAGTAGCAAGGGCATCACTGTTACAGAGGCTTCTCATGATCAGGAGCATCATCAGCACAATCGGGTCTCTGTTTTGGGCTTTTGGAGGGGGACGGAGCGGCCCATGCCACCAGGCCGGGAATTGGAAGGTTTTGGTTGTAGACAAACAAAACACACGCGATTCAGCCACCTCATCCATGAGAGATGCCAATATAAACATTAGCGAGGTCCACGATGTTGCCTTTGAACAACCCCAAGGTTGGCGGAACAGCCCAAACTGCCCAGATTTCCAATGGCCTGCCATGAGGTAGCAACTGAGACGGTAAGTCGCATTTAATGTTGGAAATGTGGTCCCTCGATCAAAGATTTGTGATTGCCAAGCCCAGCACCCTGGAACTCGAACATTTTGGAAGTCACAGGCACCCGCACTTGCAACACTGCAACTGCAGCACCAACAACAACAGCAATTCAACAGCAGCAGCAACGGCAAGTAGACGCAGCAGAAGAAGGACGCTCTCAAGACCACAGCAGGTTTTTGCATGTCCGTAATTCCACTGCGTCCTTTGCTACTACAGTTAGAGCCATGGCCATGTCAGCTCTGCTTTCAGATAGCTATGGGCAATATGTTGGGATAGTAAGCAGGTAACATCCAATGCTCTCTTATAACTGGAGCTGTATGACTACTATCTTACACTACACGTAACACTGGTGTCTTGTAACAAACAATATACCTATCTGGGGTGAGGATCCCGAAAATCGAAAGCTACCACCTCATTTGGGTCGTTCTCAAAATTATGGACCCTTTTTGGTTATAGGCCATCTTACAGCACCCAATATTTAGGGGTACCAAAATGGGCCCCTAATTTGAGGAACAACCCATGTGATGCAATGCAGGGCTGTTTAGTAAGGGCCGCGTCGTAGAGGATGTTGAGTTTTGGAGGTCCGAAGTGTCCCCCGGCATGCCATGCCATGTAAACCTATGCTTGAAATCCTACAATATAAGCCCCAAAACGCTATACTCTTCAACTCCTTAACCCCCCCAAAATGGTCGCCCAAGAACTTTGCCAAACCCCCATTTAGGGTTCAGACACACTCCTTCACTCCGGGAACTGAGCTCCGAGCCCCACTCGAAGGGTTCTGGCCGGTAGTTGTCGTCACAACTGCTAACAACCGAGGCGTTGAAGACCTCAGCGGTGGGTGCTCACAGCCCAGAGCTAGGATCAAACTGCATGTTATCTATCCAGCTGACAAAATTGAATAGGTCCCGTCCCCTCCGTTTATCTGCGTGCCATGATACCGGACTCTTGTGCAGGTCACTTGGCTTCTCAAACTCCTGGGCGAAAGGATCCATCTTCACCTGCAGGTGCATGGGTTTCCTGGACACTTTCGTTTGTGCCGCGTGCTTTGAGTCAGCGGCAGCTGGTCATTTATAAGGCTAAAGACTCAAGAGTGCAAACTCTCCAAAACAGTGTTCGTCAAATTTCTCTAGACTTGACACCTTGGAATGGTCCAGGTCCACAAGTGGCTTGGCAGAAGCATGCCCGGCTAGGTGTCTGAGAACGCTTCAGCCGTGACAACTACCGAAGTGAGCCCTCTGCGAAGACAATGAGATGCCCCTCGACTAGTGTGGATTGTCCCATTGGATCCGATCCCAGTTGTGCCGTCTCCCACCATGCTGTTGATTTGTTGTGAGGTGGTACTCACTCGCCGAGTTCCTTCGCATGATTAAGAGGGCCCCGCTGGCTCAATAAAAATGCTGGTCAGTCACGACATCCTGGCCCGCCAAGGTGTGAATCTTGAAGCCATACCTTGACAAACTCGGGTGGATGCAAACCCTGAGAGTTGTTTGGCATGGCTCTGCTAAGTTACGTTCACTCCATCAGCTTTGCAAGAAGTACACTTTGGAGGCCAGGAGAAGCTCTGTCGCTGTTGCAGACCCTGAAGGGCACATGAGCCATAGTCTAAACTCCTAGTATCCCCCTTAATAAGCCCTATAGTATTCCCCCATATAATCCCTTATATAACCCCAGTATATAGTAGTTTCCATTTTATTTTCGATTATCCCTATATAACCCCCACATAATCCCCTAAAAAATCCCCTATAGTAGTCCCCTAAATAATCCCTCCCTTTAAGGAGCTTAGACTATGGCTCACGTGACCTTTTGCCCTGAAGACTTCACCAGCTTCTGGTTCAAGCCTGGCTGCGTGCTCCCGAACGGTACGTCGCAGAGGTGACCGAAGGGAACCTTTGGGAAATCACTATTACTATTATTAGTATTTCTATTATTATTGCTACTACTATTACCATTACTATTACTATTTGCTATTACTATTACTTTTACTTGGCTCTTATGTCTGACGGAAACAATTCCCTGAATGAACAGTTTTCTGCCAATAAGTTCGAAAGGCAACCGTCACGGCAAAAACGAATGCACTGTGTTGACGCTAGCTGCCGTCGAGGGGGACGTGCGAGAGCTTGTTGCAGCTAGCGGATGAACGTCCCATAATGAAAGTTGCAGCACAAAGCGGCTGACCCCAGCTGAAAGCAGCCTCAGCTGCCTTTCCCAAGCTATTGCTACACCTACCAGTGCTTTTTGGGGAGTGGGGGAGTAAACATCGGCATTCTTTTCAAACATGAGTTATGCAAGGATCATTTTGGGAAACCACTCTCGCCCACGCTCCCTTAAGCGCCAGCAAGTGAACCCTGATTTCGCAGATCCATGGAACCTCATCCAGGCGTCAACGCCTCAAATTTTAAAAGCCCCACAAGAATCATGAGAATGAGCATTCATGGCATCCTCAGCTCTGACAGACATGGCACAAAGATCTCCCAAAGGCCAGAGAAGCCACCACCTGCAGGCTTGGATTTTCATTATCTGGTTCCGTGGTCGTCCCAGCCAGATTTCCTACAGCTGGCTAAGACAACACCTTAGCACTGCGATGAGAACAAGCCTGTGGGTGTACAGGTGGATATGTTGGATGTTCATCCCTGTGCCACAGTTGTAAGACATCGACGCAGACCAGCGATTTGTCGAAGCCAGCATGGCCTCTTTGAGATCTTGCCTTGCATTCCTGTTTGCAAGCATGGCTTTCCTAGATTCTTCTGGGACCTTCTGCTCGGTGTCTGCGAGCCATGGGCGACGCTCGCCCGTCCCAGCTGTTCCAATCTCCTCGCAAAGGGCGTAACATCAGCCCTCCAGGTTGCAAAACTACTCGAGGACTCCAGGGTATGTGACACCAAGCAGGCTGATGGTTGCGCACAGCTGTTGAGCTGCTGCGTGTAAACTTTGCCCTGGGCTGTTATGGCTACGGCTACGAGAACTGTCTTCCTGAAGGGGCCCACAATTCAATTCCAACAAAGCTAAGATCCAGCAGCTAGCAGTCATGCGAAGGACAAAAGTTGCCTTGATCTGAACCTAGATGTGATTGTGCTACCAAGCTCGCTGGCAAGCACAGCTCCCGTCCTTGCCGGCTTGACAACTGGGAGCCTCCAACAAACCTGAAGCCCCTGGCTTCTAAACTCATTACGGCTCTTGTTAACCCTCAAACTTCAAAGCCCTGCAAGTCAGCACCTGTGGCCAAGATACATACCCAAGTTCTAAAGACCTTTGCCCTGAAATGAGCACGGCCGTCGCTCCGACAACGCTGACGAAGTGCGCCCTGGGCGCCCACGTTGCGAAGCGCAGGCCGTGCACACCACCTGAGTGCTCCCGCTGAGAAAAAAAAACAGGAACCTCAACCTTCAAGTTGTGCCTACGCAATGCTAGCACATTGCCCACATGTAATGCTCGCTCAAGTGTACGAGACACCCGTAGGTTTGCTGATGCCATGAAACCAGCAATGAAAACATAGAAGAAGTATCTCAGGTGCCTCCAACTGTGCCCCCCACGTGGTTCCCATGGAGTTGAGGAAGAGCTGCTGATGACCATTTCTACAATCAAGAATGGACGGGGCCAGACAAAAACCCTTCAGCACCTCCGGGCCCAGCAGCCCACAAAACAGCTGCAGCCATGGCTCCGGCCACGACACAATGGCAGCCCAAGGCATCCGCAATTGTCGGAAAGTTACCCTGCTGCAGCTGCTCAATCTCCACCTACATCACTTGAGACACGAGCAAGTTAGGAGCGTTAGTTGATAAATCCTACGGCAGAGGTACATCCCGAATGTCCCAAATGTTTCTGACCAGGTTCATGGTGTCATAGTGGGTGGCTTCCTGATTCGTCTCTACATTGATCTGTATTCAACCACACAAAGTCCACGTCTCGCTCTGAGGTAAGATGATGCACCTGACATTGCGCTCTCAACTTGCTCGCTGAAACTGTGGCTCTTTCTGTACTTGCCTGCCTCAGCAAGCAGGAACCCCACGTAACCAAAGGTGTCGTAGAGAATCTGCTCGCCCTCCTCAAGAATTCTGCGGCCATGGGTTATGGAGCTTCCCAAAACCTGACAGCCCAAAAAAAAAGCAAAAAAAAAAAAAG